TTTTATTAAAACTTATCATTACATTATATTGATATTTCAATCATCAGGTTATTGCACTAGAAACCCAGTCAATTTCAGCATATATTTCAAAAGGCAAACGTACCCAAGAAAATTAACTGAATGAAGAATCGCGGCAATGCTCTAGAGGGATCCTTGCGTAATAAATCAAAAGTTGTCATATTTCCACTTGTTACAGACAGACGGCTGGAGGGACAAAAGAGTTCTAAACGGCTCCCTTTTGATATTTCTAGAGACAGTGACCTAAAAAACATAAAATACCAGGTGGGCATAAACTTGGAGAGCTAAGCGTTTCAAAGATAAATTCAAGTTATTTCGTTAAAAGCGTAAAAGTTTTAATTGATGAATCCTGAAGATGAGTGGGTATGAAGGGAGAAAGGAAGAGGCTGCTTGCTTACTCGTGAAACATTAGTTACGAGTATATATAGCTTTAAAATTGTTATTAAGAGGTACTTGGTAGTCGTTAAAGAGAAGTAATTGAACGTAAGTGAATTTTGTATAATCCCGGTGTATAATTAATTGGCTATTGGACGAAATGTTAATTATTTACAGGATGCTATTTAAGTTAATTATTATAATGTATTGTATTTGAAAGTAAATTATTTTATTAAAATTCCTAGTAAAAGGACATTTTGTGTGTTATACTATAGTATTATTATGGTTCATAAGATGATGTTACGTATATTAAATTTTATTTATGTCCTTTTAACCATTGTATTGTAATTCAGTTTACATTCAGCCATCTTAATTTACAAATATTGAGAGATATTTACAAACTTTAATCTGAAGTTTAATAAATTGATATTTTTTTTTTGTTTAATTTACACATAACACTTAGTTACTTTACCATTGAAGTAGAAAGTGTATAAACATTCCTTGCTTCATTAACTTGTATAGTATCTTACTAATATTATAAATGTGAAGGTGAGATTATTTGTTTGTCTGTTTATTTAGTTTGTTTGTTACACTTTATTGTACAGTAAAATCTTAGAATATATAATACAGAGTACTTAGAAAAGATTGAGTGTAATAACGTACTTATGCTCTAAAAAAGATTTCTTCCATTCAACCTTTAAATTTCTGATAGAAACCACAATAGGTTTTCGGGATTCTGACGATTTGACAACTGGTCATGTACTAGTATTTGGTATGGAAAATACTATATTTATTATTCTATTTAATGAATATATCCCGGTCACGCAGACGAAGTTGCCAGTAAAAGTTTGTAGGTAACTAATTGGATACTTGTTACAACATAATGCAATAAAATATCAACGCAACTATTGCAAGAACTTCGACTGTGCAATTTAATGACTGCTGCCGTTCGTGTGAATCTTAGAAGTCTTTCGATAGAGTTTTGTCGCATCTTCAGTTCTTCACCGTTTCAAAGTTGAACGGAACATGGAGCAAACTACAGTCAATTAAAAACTGCACTCGAGTTTTCTTTTAGTTTGAAAATTTATTTCATTTTCTGTGAAATGCGGTGAGATTTTATTTCTTGAATAATTTTAGGTTTTGGCTTTACAAACTGAATTACTTGCATTAACGACAAATATAGCTGAAGTCCTATTTTATTATTTTAATGATTTGACTTTGTATTGTATAATTTCATTTCCCAAAAGTTAACTGGGAGAGAATGCTATATAGTATTAAGTCCGCCTTTTGTACCAGTCTTTTTTTTTGTAATATGGTCAATTAAGAATAGATAAAATAAATAATAATAATTAACACAAAAAACAGTTGCTTTGAATGTCATAATCCAAACATGAGAAAAACATGAAAGTAAACCAAACTTATTGTAATCATTAAGAATAATTATTAAAGTTAACATATTTCAGTATATTTATAAATAACCGCAAAATAATACAATCAGATTCAGCAAGCGCCTTCTTTCGGGCATCGCTTAAAAATGACGTGAAATAATTTCAGTGAACCTGCAAACGTATTAAATTCAAAGTCCATAAAAGCCAACCGGCGTATTCATTGAACATATTTCAAGCCGAAATTAAGCTGATGTTAAGTCAATTACGAGTCAAGTCCCTTATTAGGGGCCGATACCGTCGGATATACGGATTTAAGTGCTTCGAGGCGCGTCGGGTCGGAAACTGAAATCGTGGCGGGTTCAGTCGGTCTCTACAAGGTATAACTGGCCTCGAAGTTACGGGGCGGAGAGCCCTCGAAATCGGACCAATCCCACAGTACGTGACATCATCATCAAACGAGTGGTCCTCAATACAAGCTTAGATATTCCGAGCATCGGATAACTGATTGGGCGTAGATTCTGGAGTGCAGAATTCAAAATTATTTTTTCCCTTTATGCAATTATTAAGCGACTTTTAAACGGAAGTCTCTCATTTCGAAGAGGCTATGTTTTTTTTTTTATTTATGATAGTGGACTGATAATTTATGTTAATACTAGCTTTTACTTGCGTCCGCGTGACTGGGATATATTTATTGACCAGGATAAGAAATAGCCTATTTTCTTCTTTATCCCATATAGCACGAATATACAATTTGACATGGCGATTAGTTAAGCGGTTGAGGCACTATAAAGTAATAAACAAATTAACAAACTTACATTTATAATATTAGTAAGGATATCTAAACTGCCTGCGTTATTGAAATATACTGGCAAGGCACCAGTGAGAGATGATAAGTGAAGATGAAGTCAGATTAGTTGATCTATCGTCTTTAATTCACCAAGAATAAAATAAGATAGTTTCCAGAGAGTCCATGTAAAGGTCGATCTGATAGAGTGTATATTGTTTGTAACGGGATCATTAACCCCATTGCAAACAATTTCTCCCTGAGTGACTATGTAACGTTCACCAATTATGAACCGATTTAAATAATATTTTTTTCCTGATTGATTTCGTTATAACAGTTAAAAATACCCAATGTTATTTTACATTATACGCCAAATTCCATTTAAATGTATCCGTTTCTTTTCCTGGCTGAATTAATCATCAACAATATTATGGTAATTATTTTCCTGCAACTGATTTTGTTACTAACTTCATAGAATGCATTCTTAGAATAAAAATATCCTGTGTGTTGTATACTAAATACCATATATCATTCATTCCTTTTCCGAGTTGATCATAAACAATATTTATTTATAAATGGTATTAAATGTGAGAATGAGGTGATTTTTAAATGATTGATTTTAGAAATAAGTAAAAAAAAGTTTTTTTTTATACTACTTAGATTGGCAAAAAAAGTTTTGTTTTAGTTTATAACCACGTATTTAGTCAACATTCAAAACAAATTGTTCTATTTATTATGGCAACACGGACAATATCTGGAAAACCGTAGTTTGCAATACGAGGTTTGTCCGGAAAGTACGTATAAAAGTTTTTTAAAAATTTTATTTTACAATTATTCAGGTAAATCAATTTTATCCCCTTCAAAGTACTCCCCCTGTGACATAATGCACTTGTGCCAACGCCGTTTCCACTGTGAAAGGCTCCTTGAATAGTATTGGTTGTAGGTTTCTCAGCTGCCCCGTCGTAGCTTTTTTTATCTCATTTATGTCCCCCAAATGCCGCCCCCGATACCAATTTGGTTTTTGGGAACAAGAAGAAGTCACACGGGGCCAAATCCGGCGAATAGTGTTCGGTCATAATGGAATTTTTACTCAAAAACTCACGGAACGATCTTGGCGCAAATTTTTTTCATTTGAAGTTCGTTTCTTAGAATTTCGTGGACCACGGTTTTGCCCAAATTAAGCTCTTCAGCCACCTGTCTGACCGTTAAACGACGGTCCCCATTAACACAAGTTCGAATTCTTTCCACGTTTTCGTCGGAATGTGAAGTGGAAGGACGTCCTGAACGTGGGTCATTTTGAACATGAATCTTTTTAGCCACTTGTGGACGGTTGGTTCCTTCACAGCATCATCCCCATAAACTGTTCTGAGATCGGCAAAAATTTCACGTGTTCTTGCCGAGTGAAAACTTGATATCGCGCTGCTCTTCAACGGAAGCGGGCTCCATGCCGACGGGGTTTCGTTAAGAGGTAACTTCACAGATGGCGTGACAAGCCAGTTGTGCACGGCGGTCAGACCAGAACTGAAGCATTGTTAGGGACATATATACCTGGCCTCCCCACTCCTCTTTCTCGCATTCCAGAACACTTTTATACGAACTTTCCGGACAGACCTCGTATGTTAACACTCCCCTTGCGGGTCCAATTTGATTCTGAAACCAGCGCTCCGATGTAATATGTAATATATTTTGTAAATTTATTGAATGAACGCCATTACATACAAATTTAGTTTCGCATTTTATTCTATAACTAGTAACATTCTATGGTTTGGCCCACGTATTTATTTTATGCGACTTAGAATAGCATACAAGCTACCGGCCCACCTGATTGAAAGTGGTAACCATCGCATTTAGACATGAACAGTACCATAGACATAACAAACTATGCTGTGTCGCCCATGAAAGGTATCTTCATGCGTTGTCATTCTCGAGGACTAAGGTGTTGTGCATGTGAATATATCGTAAATATATATACACTATATACTACATTGTTGACATCTTTATAATATTCATTTATGTTATTCAAAGTTGTAAAATATTCTTCATTTTTTCTTTTATTAATTAATTTTTTAATATATATATATATATATATATATATATATATATATATATATATATATATATATATATATATATATATATATATATATATATATATATATATATATATAAAATAATGTCATTAGCTCCTAAAAAGTATAAAAGTTTGTAAATAGAAAAAAACAACCAACTGTACATTAACTATAGAATACTAAAATCAAATCTTGGTCTTAACTATTTATTAAAAAATCAATCAATCAATTTTACATCTGATAAATTGTATTGTCAACCGGCTTTATTTGATACAATAAATAGATATTTTTTTCAAACAAAGTATTATTATCCATAGAAAGCTTTTGTACATTTATCAACTAATCGTATTTTTCTTTTGTTAACAGATTCTGATCTACAGAAATTAAAGGTAAGCGCACATTTTACATTAAGGCCACAGTAAAAATACATTAGGTACCTATTCACTAATGGAAATAGAAGGATCTGAACGAAAATACCATTAAACATTTTTCAATAAAACCCCGGTGGATGTCATTTCTCTTAGCCATTAATTCATCTATTGTGAGCGACGGGGACCGATTGCCCACGAATTCAATCAGTCCGGGACGACGGCCGATTCCGTTGGGATATTTTGTCCGATTATCGAGTGAACGGGTGACTCGTGAGAGTGTCTGACCATATTGATGTGACATTAATAGTTAAATATTGTTTTCTAAACGAATTTCCAAAAGAGAAAATAGTGCAATCCGTAATAGTTCAATATTAATTTTACGCTGATTAAACATGCTGAAGTGGCAATGGGCTAGTCATATAGTTCCGAGGAACCGACAACCGATGGGCAAGAAAGATTGTTGAGTGCCGACCATGTACGGGTATACGCAGTGTAGGACGACCTCCTCACTATATGGAGTGACGACCTGAAATGCATTGCAGTTAGTCAGTGGATGCAAGTGGTTCAGGACCATTTTTTATGGCAGTCTATGGGGAAGCTTATGCGGTCCAGCAGTGGACGGATAATGGCTTAAATGATGATCATGAAAGATGTTGCTTTCATTTGAAATAACAAAACTTGTTATTGCGATACAAATTCTATTTATAAATATTTGATTCTGTGCTCGAAATTCAAATATGTTTTTCTAATATGTCCACGAATTAATTAGTCGGTCATAGTATGAGTATTTTATCACGTTTTAAAGTGGCTGTTATTTGCATATCGAAATATTATGTCATGGAACATGGCAGACACACATCGTAGATGGAGATGATGGAATTATTCGAACTACTATATCCCCTCTTTCAACCGAAACACAGCTATGTAAGTATCATTGAGACAGAGGTATCTACGTTAACGACTTCCTGTAATGTATCCTTCTACTTTTTTAAGTAGAAAAAGTACTTTTTTAGTAGAAAATACTTCGTTTACAAACAATACATTAGATCGAATTAATGTTACTCGTATCATTCTCAGGAGAAAATCACTAAATAATATGCCAATAAAACAAAGAGGAAATAAATTAAATAAGACGAAACAATTTGAACGTACCAAAACTGTATCCGAATGACGAATCGACTTTGGAAGCGTCCTAAAATCGAAGCCCGATGTCATTACTATAACATTATTATCGATACAATTGTGTATCGTGACCCTTCCCAAATCAGATAAATTTAATGGAACTAAACCCAAACTTTTGATATATCGTTATTAACATTAGCCATATAACGAAATGTGTGACTATTGTTGTATCTTTTTTGTATATGGACAGAATTATATATCGGGAAATATATATTATAAAAAGAAACGATTCGATTGTTTGTTTGTAATAAATAAACATACAAACAACAAAAATTATAGAACACATTTTAAATATTCTTTCATATATATAAAGTTACGTTATCAGCGAGTAACACAGGCTGTATATTATTTAATTTATAGAATTTACAGGGTACAAAGAATTAACACCTGAGTCCTCAGAAATGGCAACGCATGAGGGATATTATGGACAAAACAGTATACTTTGTTATAACCATGGTACTGCTCATGTGTATAGGCGACGGTTACCATTTTCCATCAAATGGGTTGTCAGCTTGTTTGTCATTCTAAGTTGCATAAAAAAAAAAATTAAACACTTGCGTTGTTTACACATATTGTAAATGCACTATTGAGACTTAACGCGATGACAAATTTTCGCAAGTAAATTGTACTTACATAATTGTTATATACTGATAGTGAATTGTTTATTATTATTTTCTAAAATTCGGTCTAGTCGTGTGAAGACGGACTGGATTGCTACTGACAAATTTACAGCATTTACAATTATTTTGAAAATACATAATTGTAAATGCTGTCGGTTTAATATTAATGAAACACTAAACGAGGGACGAAAAGGGTTATTATTTGTAGTAATTGTCATTTCTGAAATATTAACGCAGAAATTTGAATAGTGAAATACGGGCTAGGAGGTTCGTTTTTAGACAAATCTTTGCATAACACAAATTGTTATTATATCTTGTACCTCTTTATATTATAAAAGACAGTATAAAAATCATTACGACTCCTTTCACTACCTTTCTTTCTTAAGTAGCATTATTATTTTCTATTATGTTCTATGAATATACATTATACTATTTCTATGACTATGTATTTTTTACAAAATTTCAGCAGTTAAGTGTTCACTGCTGAACATAAGCCTCTCAGCCTCTCCTAAGCCATAAAGGAAGAGGGGAGGGGTTGCCAGTAATTACCACACTTAACAGGCGGGTTAACAATCGCAGTTAAGTTTTTAGAGATATTTTAACAAGAGAGAGCTGCCCATCTCTCTACCATTATGTTTCTTTAGTGGCCTCTTATGACACCCACAGGAAAAGAAGGTGTGGCCTATTCTATGCCGGCACCACACGGCCACAAAATGTATGTATGCTCTGCTTAATTTGTTTTTCGAATGTAAAAGGGTCATTTATTAATTGGAACTAGTTACATCGAAAACATCTGTCTCTTATGTAATGTTTATGAGAGGTGTTTTTCACTTTGCAAAATTGTTTTTTGTTAGATGTCTACACTTCATAAGGAATTTACTAATTTCATTCTAAGCTAACGCTATACGTAATGTCTGTAAGTAGTATTTTACTTTTACATATTTGTAGGTATCAAATATTATACACGTTGATAATGAATTTTTTACACGAATTTATAGCACAATTTTATTATTGTTGTTTCCATATAAATGTATTTTATTACTTCTATTTAGAATCCCATACAAAATACTCAATTTATTATTTAGTTCAACGACCTATAAACAGGATATCTACGCTTATTCCATTATACGAAATGATTTCATCATATGTAGGTATCTATATTTAGGGTTACTGAATGTATGAATGTTTTTTTAATGGATGATAAATATAATGGTAACACGGCCTCCGCTATCAGTTTACTCTGGCGGGGCACCCGTGAGGGATAATAGATGAAGATGAGCAGGTTAGTTAGTCCATCGTGACGAATTCCATAAGAAGAATACCAATATAACCTTAATTGTCAGCAATGAAATAATCTTATCTCCCCCCCCCCCCCAATAATTGAATATTATATTGTATAGTTTGTAAATTTCAGTTGTTTATTATACAGGGTTAAATCCAAATCAGTAGCCATCCTTTCAAGGAAATTAAGTGTTCTGTCAATGAAACTGAAATATCTTCCGAGAAATATCAACAAAGTTGCACCTTCTATGCTAACTTGACAAGCGCTGTCTTAGCAGGAACGATTCAAAATTGTTTGTTAAATTTTGACCTATTTTTCTTTGGAAATATATACTAAATTACATAAACAACTACTAGTTTTATAGGTACCTTAATTGTAATAAATAAAAAAATAAAAGTTCAGTATTTCATTACACTTGAGGATTTTAAACATGTCTAAACAAGACGCTGAGAACTACATTCGAGCAAATAACGTATCACTTACAGGTTTTCTCTTTTAAAATTTGAGTTAATTTCTTTTTTCTTTTGTTTAAAATTGTGCATTTATCTTTACATTTTATTTATATGCACATCAAAATCATTATCAGCCACTTTTATATTTATTAATTTTCTTAAATCTTTGACATTATTTTTTGTTCCATGTTAGTTTTTATCTTAAGGTTTTTTGTTAATATATTTTAGAAAATTAAATTTTGATAAATATATTTTTATTGTTATATTTTTAATCTAAACACTTCATAATTTTTTTTAATTAGTATAAACGTCTAATGTCAAGCTATGATTTTACCATTTTGCTCCGGCCATCTGTATTTGACATCGAGAGAATCGTTAATGTTTATTAGCCATATTGCGCTGCAATGACTACCCGAAAATATATTTCAGCGTGCTACAGACTGTACTTTATTATATAATTTTCCATTTGCAAGCGATTTCATAGAAATTACGAGCGGTTTAATTGCGGCCTTCCCATCTTTGCTACTAATTTGACAAATAATCTTAATTTTAGAAATGACTTTTCAAGAGTTCTGCTTATTTCGTCTAAAATGAACGTGATATGACTTTATGTTTATTACATAAATTGTATCATTTTATTTCATCAGGTAATAAAACAATTTGCTGTTAAATTGTTGATGAAGTTGAAATGAGAAGTGTTAATGAAAAGCCTGGTATTATTACGAGTATAATCGTAATTATGTATTTTAAAATGTCATTATTTTACTCATAATATTTTTATGTTTGTGCATAAAATGTGATTATAAGAATAATATAAGTTAATGACTTTATACCCGTATTACTTATCAGAGTCGTGACGAAAATAATTTTATAGAAATAATTTAACGCGAATAAGTACAAATATGTATACTTACTTATTTATATTACTTAGAAACAATTAGGTAGGTATATGGTGTTATTAATAACTTATAAATATGGTAGGCTTCAAAATCGAGAATAAATTCTTGTGTATTATTTGTCATTTCAACCGTTAACTTTCCACTGTTGAACATAAGCTTTTCCCATAAGGGGAGTTTTGCGAGTAGTTGCCACACTTGGCAAGCGGATTGGCAACCCCAGTTAGACTTTAAGAGGTGTTTTAAGAGAGACGCTGTTCTCTCTCTCTACCATTAAATTTCCTTAGTCGTCACTTACGACACCTACGGGAAAGGAAGGAGTGGTGCCATTATAATATTTTTAGTACTTATCGATTATCTACACGTATCTATCTGTCAACATTAAGGATACGTGTGTGACGAATTGTCTCGGTGATTTACATATACTACATCTACTATAAGAAAATATTGTATATAATAATATCTACTTATACTGAGAAATCACCTGAAGATAATTACGCCAATAACCACGCATAACACCGTGGATAAGACAGAATATATCGCTGGTGATTGAAAAGCGATTTACCTTTGAAAATATAGTGACTTT